TCCATGCTAACTGTCTTGATTCTGTTATATATCTCTTTATGAGATTATTATTAAGCGATGCGTAGCAGTCAGGATGTTATTTATATTAGCCTTCTCTTAAAGCCGGCATTCTGTTGCCAGTTCAGCCATGCTGAGAAAATGAAATTATTCTGAACAGGCAGCACCTTACCATGACAGCAAGATGATGGTGTCTGGACGTGTGCTGTGTCTAAGACCAGCTTCCCTGTGCTGGAGGACCTCAGGCAGAAGCGGGTGCCTCCTCCCAAACGTGTGTTTTGTGGTCTTTGTGAATGTACATCTCTCACGTGAATGAACACTGCCATGGAGCAGCTCTGCACTTTGTAACGGCTTTAGGCTTCCGTGTGGCCTTATTGCTGAAGATTTCATTCTTTGACATTGCAACTGTGATTCATATACGCTGAACGGTAGAGATACGCAATCCCTCCCTCCCCTCGCAGTATTAAGCCTTTGTGGAAGGACATTCTGCATGTTTGCTGCTCGAGTGTAGCCAAGGGCTCTGTTTATGATTTTTGCTGTAGTAGAATCCAGCAAGATCAGATAAGACTGGTAGAGACTGTTTTGTGCAAGCCCTGCGTGAGCTCTGTGATGAAATATCTTACAATTAAAAATTTAAGAACATTCGTCAGTGTATTGCACTCTAACAACAGCAGCTAGAAAACAATGAGACTGAAATGAAACTACTGCATGGCTTTTTCTGCCATCCTCCCAAAAGGTAATCAGCTCTTCCCTACTTTTGTCTTGTAAGGTAATTCTGAATGGGAGGAAGAAATCATGTCCTGAAACGTAAAACAGTAATGGAAGCTGATAATATTCTCCCTTTGATTTGAGAGGATGTCTAGTACTATGCTGGTTGCATCCTCTATGAAACAGGTCTGAGTGGCATCAATAGGTTATATTTAGCAGTTGGTGGCACTAAGTGTGGGGTGTTTTTGTCAGTTAAAAAGGACAGCGATGTGTTGGAAAGTGTCAAATGGCATCGTGGGGCTATGTCATTATTGCCACTCAATGACTCTGCATCCAATGTGTTCAGATTGCAAGCAAAAAGATGGCTTTTCTGGCTGCCAACTTTGCTGTCTCCATCTGGGATCTAAAATTCAAGCTGTGTCTTTCCTGGCTCTGTCGCTAATAATAAAGATTCTTCATTTGGAACTTAGTTAAACTAAATTGATGCTGATGCATGAGCTGAAAGAGAATCCAGCTCACTTTCCTCGAGACGTGTGGGCTAAAGCACCGACAAGTAGGAGCATAATCATTTTAATCTATAAGGTCATCAGGCGATTTAATAGACACCAGATTTGTGGAGGAAACAGAAGATATTTTAGCATAACAAGCGTGTTGATCATACAGCTTTTTAACAAATGCTAGAAAGTTGATTGAATTTGGTCAGCTAGGCTTCTGCTTCCAGACTAGCCAGTAATAGCTCATTACATGTTGTTAGGAAGCTTTTCTGCAAATCTGGGGAAATTACATTTGGTATAACATATGGTATAATCTTCAACTCTCTCCTTGGGAAGTGAAGTCTGACTACTCAGTCAATGAATTGCCGTATTTTTATCAGTAAAATGGATGGGCAGCTGTGACATACGCTTTTGAGTGATGTAACCTTTAATGTCTTTGGCAAATACTGGCATTAGCAGTCTGTTCCTCTCCATTTACATCTCCTCCAGAAAGTCATTACCAGCTGAGATTATACTAACACTTTCTGTCGCGTAGGTGTTTCCTCCCCTGATGCTATTGAACTGTCAGGGAATAAAATGCCTAATGTTCTCATTTTCCTCCGAGGAGACAGAGAACAGAGCTTGTGTTGCTGCTTGTTGTACAGAGGGAGGTGGTGAGAAGTGTATGGCGCTGTGTGTTGTGAATTGGAAGGACATGCTGTGCAGGATTGTTTGCTCCACACCGCCTCCTGCGGCTCCATTTTACTAAACTCGTGGGGGAGGAATATATTGGCTAAATTGTACTTGTAGGCATAATATTACAGTGCTTGAAAGGATGAAGGCAAGTGGTGCTTAACTTGAAACACGCACTGCGTATGTTGGCAAAGGGTTCTGTTTTCAGCTTCTTGCTCCTTATTGTGCCCATAGTCTCCGCTCAGCTGAGGTTTGGAAATCAATGGGATTAGTCGTCCGGGGCTGCACAGCGTCGGCAGAGCCGGTTGGAGGGCTGCTTTCCTTTGCTTTTGAGATCAGCGGGGAATCGGTTCTCGCAGGGCTCTCTGGGATCCCTGTCATGCCAGCCCGCTCCCACTTGCTGCTTTTTAGTATTCATTGAATCCTCCCTTTCCTAGCTCTGGTTCCAACAACCAGTCAAAACCAGCAGTCAGGTGACAAGGTGCGGGGAAATGTGGGTGGCCTTTAGGGTGCCTTCTTCTGTGGCCCAACATGACTTTCCTCAGCACTGTCTTGTGTTTTTTTCTCTTGATCTCTTCCCTTTATTGACTGTAAAACACCTCAGGAGTATCTTTTAGCAGCTGTTGACAAGGATGAGGCATCTCTTCTAAAGATGGGCTGAGGCTCCAAATCTCAAACCCCGGAGCCTTAATGGTTTCTGACTCTCATGGGTTACACGGGAAGCTGATACTGAAAGAGCAGTTAAAGCTTTGATGGTTATGACGCTCAGAAAAGTAGGATCTTAAGTAACTTTTTTTCTCTTATAATGGGAAACACCTTTTCCTAAAGTGTGAATTTATTACGTCACTTCAATTCCTAGCTGCTGAAAATGTTTCCTTTAAGAGAATCGCTTGAATTGGATAGCTTGTAGTCCCTCTCTGATGAGTTGAGTTGCTGCCAGCCTACATTTGTTTCTTCTCACTAATAGCGTTACTACCTTACTTTTAAAGCCTGCAGTTATCGAACATAATGATAACCCTTTTACCTCCTGTCACATTATGGTGTGAATACTTAACTCTGCGTGATCACTGATGCTTTACATTTTAATTCTTTCCTACCAAGCAAAGAGTGAGCACATCTCTGTTAGGAAATAAATAGTTTAAACCCGTCACTAGGGAACAACAGCAGTTACTGTAAAAAAGGGGGTATGGTATGAATTCCCGGGGACAACTGTCTTTAAAAACAGACACGCAGCCCCCCGCCCCCCAAACCTGCCAAATTGCCGGGCTGAATTTCCTCACTAGCAGGCTTCTGCTTGGCTGTCTGCTCTAGGATTATGAGAGAGCATCTCCCTTATCGTTTTGCACATGCTGTACCATCTGTCCTAAATCTCCCTTTAGAGGGATATGGATTCCAAATGACATTTCTTTCTTGGTAGATAACAGGCATGTCTGAAGAATCTTGCTAGGTATGGCCATAGTGCTATTTGTGTTGCAATGGGGTTTTTTCACCCTTGTCCCGCAACCAGAGTGAACTCTGAATTTTTCTGGTTCAGAGACACCCAGACATTGAGAAAACATTTTATGCTGTAGTCTCTGGGAAATCGAGAGAAAATCTCCATGTTCTGTTGTGTGTGTTCTGCTCGGAGCAGACAAAGATGGCATATTACTAAATTCAGACATTACAAGGACACGAGAGATGCCTTTAATCTTTTATTGTACATTATAAAATGTTTATTGCTCTGTCTGTATCAGAGGTGCTGACCTCTCCCTCTTGGTGATGGAGGAGTATGTTCTGGCAAAGGATCCACTGAAGAGACCTTTGGGGTTGGCCTGCCTTCTGAAACTGGCACAAGGGAAGTCCTTGCTTGTTCACCAACACATCTGCAAGCAGACTTCCTCGTGCCTTTCTCCCAGATCAACTATTTTGGAAAGGCTGGTGCCAGTGGAAGAGGAGAGATGGCTGAACTCGGTTACTGTCAGCCTGTTTCTTTGCAGGGACTTTTAAATCAGCCTCATCCGAGGGCAGGTTTGTTGTAACGAGATTCAAACCCTACTCAGGCCAACCTGTCTTGGTATTTGAAGGAACAAGTAGGATCTTGCCTCATCCCCTAGTGCATATGGAGTGGTCTTGTGGAGTAATTAAATAAATACGGGTACCCCATGGCACATTACAAAGAGTAAATCTTTTCCGTGTGATGGACTTGCATCTACCAGCTTCCAGAGCACCAGCAATCCCAGGGATCCTGTCAGCTTACAAACATTAAGCACTTAATAAGAGAGAGGAGAACCCCCAACCCCTTTTCCATTCGTTGTCATCCTTTTTATGGAGGACTGCCTGCAGCAGATACCTGGCATTACAACGTCACAAAAATAGTGCAGACAGGACGTGTAAGGAGAACCAGACCTTCCCACAGGAACCCCACAAAAGAAGCAATTTAAGAACTTAAGCCCTCAGAAAAAGGTCCCTTAGGCAAAAGCCTTTCGCAATAAATAGCTATTGCCACTGGTGACCTTGCATAGCAACCGGTATCATGAGTTTTTTTCTTTTTTTTTTTTCTTTTTTTGCTGACTGGCTACATTTTTATGGGCCTTTTATCACACTGGTGGTGGACACAGGCCCAGCTGAAAATACCATGATGAAAACGGTTGAAATTATCCTGGAAGCTAAATAACGGCTTCTGGTGTCCCCTCATATTGGTCTGTGCCTCAGTGTTTGGCGTGCCCCGATTATCTGGGCTGAAGAGCACCAGTGCGAGATAGGAGAGACAGCAACGGTGGAGACGTGCTGCAGCCTAACTGGAGAACAACCAGGGAGGTTCTCGCAGTGGGAATGGAAACTGGGGTATGCTTTTTTTCTTTTTTTTTTTTTTTTTGTTTGTTTTAAAAACCCACCTGCAAGACGTGTTACACAACACACATCAATGGAACAAAGCAAGCTGGGAGCACACAGCAGCCGAAACCTGGTCGCTAGTCGTGTCTGTGATGAGCTTTCCTCCTTTCTTGCTTGGAGAGGAGCGACGGTGACTGATGCCTGAGCTCACCTTAATACTGTCAAGATGTAGTGACAGTGAGACAAAATAAAGATACAACAAAACCTCGTACGTTTCCAAGGACGGGAAAATTGTTCCAGAAGATGGAGCGTGAGGGTGGAGAGGAGTGCGTGAGAAGTTGCTCCAGCCCAGGTGATTCATGAGTCCAGTACAGGATCACCGGCAGCAGCTGTCTCACTGGTGCTTTTCCATCTTCATTGTTTGGGTTTCAGGGTTTTTTGCAGGATTTTTCTTTCTGGCCAGATGTTTTGCAGAACACAGACAAGGAGGTGTATGCCAGCGAGTGACAATCACTAGGTCTCTTTCCAAATGGCTCCAACAATATTTCACCTCCCTAGTCATCAAGGCTCAGAGGCAGAAAGTGAGAGTGAGGAATGGAGTCCATCTATCAGGTGGCAGGCTGTCACGCTTCAATGATATTCACTGAGGGCTTGTTTTTTGGGAACTGGAAGAGAAGAGGAGACAAAGGAAGAAAGGATGCATAGGAATCACTAGAGAGGAAGAAAACCAGCACATCAAAGATGAGTGCAGTGTGCTGGTCAGTTTTTGGTTTTGTAGAAGTCCTTGTTCCCATCCCCTCGGGGTAATGAAAAAGGGCCAGAGTTGAGGCTTTAGGGTTGTGTGGTTCGTCACTGTCTGCTTCTGACTGAGCATGAATTAGTGGACTATTTCAAATCATAAGTAAATGTGAAGTGGTGGGGATGTGCCAGAGTGCAAGTTGTTAACAGAAACACAAGAAAGTGAAATTAATTGAAATAAGTTGGTATAAATTATAGGCTTGAGTCTGCTTACATTATGGATATGGCATGTCTTTAACATTACGTGTATCACCAGCCACGCTCCTGCTGATCAGCTTTTCAGTTAATTGCAAGAATAATATCCCCTTTACCACAGGTGCCAAAGGGCTGCTGGGGGGGTAAGGACCCAAGCAGCTCAGGGACTGCAGCGTTGCTCGGGGCGTTTTTCTTCCAGAGATGTCTGGATATTTCAGTAATATGGCTTGAAATCTGTTTTACTGATGGATGTGCAGGCTAATCCAGAGGTGGGAGTGACGTGCTGGTGTCCTGATGTGTCTGGGAGGCTCAGACCGCTAACGAAGCCGCGGTACTGGCATGCGTGGATGTGAAGGGGTGTTTCCTTTCTGCATCGCAGCTGGAGGGAGGAGGCTGGAGGGAGGATGCTTTAAGAGAGGCTGCTTTTTGGGTAATTTAGCTGAGGCCCAGCTGGAAGTTGATTGTCTGCCCCGTCCCCCACTGCGTGCCAGCAGCATCTCACCTTGCTGCGGAGGAGCCCTCCGCTCTGGTGCTCGGGAGTGCTGTTCTCCGAGGCGCTCTTGACTTTCTCCTTGCTGTTATTTGGCTCATTATCTTTGATGATATCGTACTGTCTGCAAAACAGGGCGATCACCCCTAACAGGAAAAAGCATTAGTGATCACACAAATGAGCTCAGCCCCTGGAGCCTGCAGAGATCAGAGATCCCTCGCTCGCCAGCCGGCTTTGTGCCTTCTGGTAGAGATCTCAGCAGCATTCACAATTGCTCCTAAGGATCATTTTCTAACACAGCTAGTCAGCCCTCTGGCTGTTTCCTTCTCGATGCCTAATTCCATGCTAAACTAGCTAGGTAGAAGAACAGAAGATTAATTATATTGCAACTTCCTCGTCATTAAATGGGACAAGTCTTTTAAGCCCTACGTTTGGATAGCGATCAACACTAACAGTCTGGTTAAATAGATCTTTGCTTTGCAAACACAGGAGCTCCTGGAATTTCTGGTTTGTGAATAAGCGTCCTCTGATCCTTCTTCTCTGGGGTGAAGAGAAGGAGGTGGCGGATGAGAGGCAGGTACTGTACCTGCCTGCATGTGATACAAGGCAGGGCCTCCTGAGCAGCAGGACAACATCTGCAAATATGCAACGGTGACGGCAGCAAAAGCTGCCAGTGGAAATTTCCTCCCACACACGCAGGCACATGAAGAGAAAAGCAGGGGCAGCCATGACACAGAAGACAACTGCAAATGTCTTTCTTGGAACCTTTTATGTGACATTTTGACCAAATAACTTCTCTGCCTGCAGATTCCAAACACAGAGGTTAAGTAGACCGAGGCAGATGCTGCTTCTCCCTTACTGAAAAATATTCCAGCTCCCCTAATAGCAAAACATATGTAAAGCTTTCACCAGATCATCACAAACTGCTTTATAAAGTGAGGTGTTGTTATGGCAGCTGTCCCCAGGTGTTACTGATAAACACAGCGGTCCAAATTCTTTCTTGCGTACGTGAACAAATGGCTGATCCTGGGAGAATAGGTTAACATCTGCCACAGTCACACCTTCTGCGATTTCCGATGGTAAAACTGAGGCACAGAGAAGCAAAGTGCTGTGAACAATACCAGAAATGCAGACAGCACAAGAGCTTGGGTCTCGTCTCAGCTCAGAGCCCTGGGCACAGACTGGATCCAGTTTGCATTTGCTAAAACATCGTCATACATTCAGGTTATGGCCAGGCCAGGTTAAGAGCTGGAAAGAGGTTTTTGTATATGGAGACTTTGTAAAGAACCCACTAGATGTAGAGAGATTTCTCCCCCACCCACTTTCCTTTTTAAATGTAAGTCATCTGTCTAGAAGGGAAATTGTGGTATTAGCGAATTCTTTTGTTCCGATGCTGATCTGAGTTTTAGATTATAATACAGTGGGAGATGAATCAGTTGTTCTGTCGCTTTGTGTAATTATTCATGATGGTTTTTACTGGCAGGGCATTTAAATTTGAATGTGCACAACTAAAACTTGGCATAAATGCTGAAAAGATCATGGACTAGAGGTTTTGGAAACCTTTTAGTTTAGATTAGGTTTTCATTTGGTTATCATCTTTAGCAGTAATTGCTGTCCAGTCTCTGGAAATGCAAATAATGCGTGGTAAACTCAGGACTTTCCAGGGCAAAACCAATATTATACGTGAATCTGATTCTGTGTCACCTGGATTCACTTGTCAGAAACCTCGCAGAACAGTACAGGACACAGTCAGTCCCTCCATCCCCCTCTTTAGTGACAGATCTCAGATCAGTGAATGGTTTCCTCTTCATATCTCTCCCTGGAGGTATCTCATCTCAGCAGAATCTAGAATAAATGGGCCAAATCCTCTGTTGGAGTAAACTGGTGCAACCCCTATCAATTCAGGATTGTTAGTTTACAGCAGCAGAGGTGACAGACCACCCCCTTTAAAGGACAGAAGGTTATGCTCACCACTGAAACTACAAGTTGTCAAAGCCATGTGCCACTCAGTACCATTGTGGTGGGTTTCTCTTCTAACTGAGAGAAATTCTCTGTGCGACTGTTTACGCGCTCTGTGTGTGGAAAAGCGGTTTGCCTGGGACAAGAGGACTGAAAACCCAGTGGCAAAGGTTGTCTTTTATGGATCATAGATTTACAATAGTGCTAATTTCCCTTCCTGCCAATTTCCTTGGGTCACCTGAACCGTTCCCCCTTGGGCAACGTGCTCTGTGACTCGCAGGGAGCAAATGTTTTTTCATTAATGTTTTACGTTGCGGCAGGAGCAGCAGCTGACTGGCAGCCAAGGGAGGCTGGGGCTCTAAATAGAAAACAAACATGTGCAAACTTTATTTCCCATTAACTCATGCATGTAATTTCCAAACTGAACAAGCTGAAGGGCTGGCTGCAGCCGCTTCAGACATGCTAAGCTGATGGAGCAGGAGTCAGAGGCATTTTCCTCTCCCTATATGCTAGCTTAAGACACGTGAGCGAGATCTCTTCTAGGTACAATTTGCTGTAAGATGTACTGAAATGTGGTCCCAAAGTCATGCCAGAAAACTCTTAGTTCTCTCTGGAAATTTAATGTCTATATTTGTACATATTACAGAATGTCAGAGTGAGGGATCTTCATATAGAAGGAGCACATTTATCCGATGTTCTGTTAGAGGCTGTGTTAATGTCTGTGCCTAGCTATGCCCATCGCATCCCACAGCAAAGCCGCCCGAGGATGATTTTACTTCGCCTTCCACAGCACTGGGTGCTTTCAGCTGCACTGGGCTTGCTTTTAAAATCATATACTACAGTAGCCGTCTTGTAGCAGAGCCTCCGCTTGGATTAAAAGGATTAGTGGCTGCAAGATATAAGGAGGACTAGGGTGGGATTTCAAAAGATTGCCAGAAGTTTGGCTCCAAAGCAGTCTTTTGGACAACAGCTTTCAGCTAATGCTCGTCCTTCCTCCTCCCACCATCCTAAGCTCCTTCCTTTCAGTTAATATATTTCTGCTAATGTCCCTCCTCTTCCTATTAAATACTGTTCTCTGTATTTTAATAGTAGATGTTGAGAGGATCTGGGTTTATTGGTGTGTTGATATTTGGGGCCATTTGTTCTTTCAATGCTTCCATTATTTTAATTGATTTTGAAGGGGGGTTTTGTGTATGTATAATAGCGGGTGTTAAAAGCGAGACTCTTAAAATTCCTTTTTTGCATGAGAGTTGGAGTCATATAATAGCCAGATAATTACAGTGACCTGTGTCATTTGAGAGGCGTGAGGCGTACTGTTGGATAGCTGAGGGCATTATCATCGGAGCATTCTGGAAAAATTGAGATTACAGGATTAGCTATGGAGAATTAGGCAATTGGTTCATCAAGTCCATTACCTACTTCCTGCTGGACCAGATCAGACCACTGATTCACCTGCTTTTGGCACTGCCTGACTTGTGATGCTGCAGAGGGAACTGAGGTGCCCTGACAGCTGAATCTGCAGTATTCTTTACAGGAGAAAGGGTTTCTTTTCAGGTCTTATATGATTACACATGCAAACCAAGCAAACCAGCAGGCCCTAGGGGTATTACGTGCTTTTCACGGAAAGATTGAACTGACCTGCCCACATAAACAACACCACAACAATGATGAGAATTTCCCCCGCTCGCAGCTGTTGGTTTTTCTTCGCCATCTCCTTCATTGTCACCTCATCTGCACAAGGGGAAAGAGAGATCATGAAACCTAACCGCATGGCTCAGGCTGCCCTAGACACCAGTTGAACGGTGCCCTTGACTCCAATCGTCAGTGCGTCGGGGTCAAAGCTAGCAGGGAGAGAGTCCTCGCCCGTCACTCACGCCAGCAGCACGAGCTGCGCTTTGAACTTGGCAGAGCATCAGCTGCTCTGCAGCAACTGCCCCTGACAACCTGCAGGAGACGGGGCGAGGGAGGAGCAGTGAGACGGGATCAACAGGCAGTCACCGCAGAGGAGCTGCCATGGGGTAAGTCCACATGTTATCTGGCCCTGCGGCGGCTCGCTCTGCTCTGTCTCTGGTCTCTGTTAGTGCCGTCTGAGCCTGCCACAAAACCTCGCATGCTTCAGCAGTTCCTCTCCCAGCTCAGGAGTGTGGAGCCTGGCATGATATTTTTCAGTGGAGCCATGGGATTCGGAAATGAGTAGAACCTTTTTGCAGGGCGTAATGCGCCTCCTTGGCTTCAAAGCACTAAGAAGATTACAGTTCAGGCCTCCAGGGAGGGAAGCAGTGCTCCTCTTAGTGCTTTCAGATGAACAGCAATTCAGTATTTACAGACACCAAATCATTTTAGCAGAAAGAGTCAAGAACTCACAACATCCTAGGAACGGCGGCCAAAAGCCCTGCAACAGGCTGGGTCCTCAGTAGGCAGGCAGTAACCCTTTATATCCCAGACCCCTGTACTCCATCGCCCTGTTTGTACCAGAGATTCTTGCTGACAGAAAACCTTCAACAATCTGGTTTGGCTTAAGAGGAACAAATGAAGGAGCTGCCAGTGAGGAAGTGCCTGATTTTCCTCCATGGAGATATTCAAAACCCAACTGGACATGATCGTGGACAACCTGCTCTAGTTGACCCTGCTGGAGCAGGGGTTTGGACTGGGTGATGTCAAGAGGTCCCTTCCAACCTCAACTTTCTGTGATTCTGTGATTTTGAAATATTTGAAATGTAAGAGAAGTGGCAGCGTCTGGGTGTATTTCCCCCTGCTGTCCTGGAATCCAAGCACAGGAGGCTCAGCGAATCCCCCTGAGTGCCCTGTGAGCACAGCAGTGTTGTGCCCAGTGCCATCCAGGAGTCTATTTCCATACGAGTTCACAGACTGCTCAGGAATTTCCCCTGCCGTTCTCCACTTGCAAGGATGCTGGACACACTGCTCCCAGGCTGGAAGCCTTCTCCTCCTCACTTTGCCTGTTAAACCTCATCTGAAACAGGAAAAATGAACTGCTAGCCCTTGGCAGTATCTCCCTGTCGCTTTGTTCACCCGTCAGCCTTGCCTGCTGGGTACACTCAGGGCATCCCGCTTGTCCACGTGGGGCTGCGAGAGGGCACTCACCCCTGCGTGCGTTTAACCCAGCTATTTTCATTTCACAGGGTACTGCTTTCCTCTCTGCAGAGCCCTACACTGTCTGGGTGTCCCAGGGGCCACACAGGAACTCACCCACACTTGCCTTTATTTTTAGAGGCTAGTTTCTCAGCTTCCCTGGGGGTCTTGAAGAGGACTGGCTCACTGGCAGGGCTCTGGCCTTGAATGCTGATGGACTGGACATGCACAATGTACTCAGTGTCCTCCTCTAGGTCCCAGAGGGCACAGGAGCGGGTGGTGGTGTTCACCTCCTGGATGAAGCGCAGCATCCGCACGTCCTTCTTCTGGAAGCCGAGAGAGGAGAGCACAGAGTGGTGGAGAGGCCTCCCGTGTGCACTGCTGTCATCTAAGACCACTGCTTCCTGCCCTGTCCACCACGGACGCGGAGACCGTCGGACCCTTTCCTCTCTGCAGCTACCAATGCATGAAGAGCTGCTGCAAAGAGGACGGGAAGCCAAGTCCCCTCCCAGACCACGAGGGACAGGACCAGAAGGAATGGGCTTAAACTGCAGCAAGAGAATTTGGGAACGGAGGGGACCTGGGGTGAAGATGAACATGACCGAAACTGGGTAACTGTAGGCACCATACCTGTTGGGAAATTGCAAATCCAATGACAACTTCATCTTCCAGAACATCCCAAGTCACAACGGCTGAGTTGGCTTTCAGGTGTTTGACTGTGACATTTACTGGAGCCGACGGGCTGTCTGCAAGGAGGGAGAGCAGAGCCTTTACGGGGGCAAAGTCACAGCCGCAGGCAGGAGCGAGAGCAAGGGCGAGGAGGGGAGCGGGAAAGGACCTTGCTCAAGGTCCCTGTATGTGGTTCTGGGTGTGGGACGTGGACATTGCAGGTTCTCCATGTCTCAATTACCAGTGAGGTTCTAGGAGATCTCTGCCGAGACTGAGTTGGGTTAGACTTGTGTGAAATATCTGACCCTTAGAAACAGTTTCTTTTGACAACATAGCAGACCACTGAGCGGCTCATTCATCTCATCCTTCCCAGCCACATACCACGTTTTCTCTGTTGTTTCCCGTTACGGTCTGACAGTGACAGCTGGGAGGAAATGCAAACTCTGCCTTGGAAGTATGAAAACTGAACGCTTTGATGAGCACTCTGGAGGTTTGAAATTCAGGAGTAGTAAATGGGAGTGTTTCTTTTGCTTTTCCCTGTTAGTTTGACCGAACATTTTTACTACACGTTTTGCAGCCGATGGGCTGTCTCTCAGATAGTCGGAGGAGATCCAGCAACCATCCGCTCACAGCTAACAGGACGGGACATGCTGCAACGGCACCGATGGACTGTTGTAATGTGAAAAGGGCAGGCTGAGAAAGCAGTAGCCCGAGGCTCCGTGTTTATTCCCAACTCCAGAGCGCAGCTGAGTTTCCCGCTGCAAGGTGGATCTGCGGAGCTGCCAGCCTCGCTGGGCTCCTGCGCACCCTCACCGGGAGCCTCTTCCCAAGGGAGCTGCGCGGTGCGAAGCCCTTCTTGGCATCTCAGGGGGAAGGTTTTACCTCGTGGGCTTGGCACAGTCCTTCCAGTGCTCTGCGCAGCAGGTTGGACTCCTGTTCCCTCTCCTCTGGTCAAATTTAATTCACAATCTCCAGCTTGTGCCCCGAACCCAAAGGCAGTAAATGCTAACGAGACTGCCAGGACTCCGACTACCCCCAGGAGGTCGATAGGGTGAGAAGGAGTAATTTTTTTTGACTCTCATCAAAAAATAATACCTTTATTGCTTTGTAACCGTTGCACAACACTGCCCTTCTGGGGCTGGGACTGAGGTCAACAGTAAAAGAAGAATGCATGTGTGCACGTCTCCAGTAACACTTGTTGGATTTATAGTCAGTCGCAGCCGCCTGAATGTGGCCGAAAATATTCTAGCTGTAGTGTCAGAGTCTCCTAACAACTGACTTCACTCCTGGTGAATGTTCCCCCGGGAACAGAGAAAATAACGGGAGCACAAAATTCCCCAGCTGAAGGTCAGTGCTGTTCTACACTTAGCAAAGAGATGACCTTCTTCCTTTCTCACCTCCCCAAACAACGCCCAGAGTCCTGCCTTCACAGCTCCCCTTTCTAGCAGATGGGAGACCCACAGCCACCAGTGAGACCCTTAGGAACAGGATGACTGGACAAGCTGTTTGGACCCGGACTGATTCTAGCGAGTCCTTCAGTGAGCTGAAAGGCACATAGCTAAGTTCATGTGGGTTTGGGACTTCAGAAGGAGGAGCAGCAAGCAATTGTGACCTCCAGGATTTCATAGGGGAAGGTGTCCTTCCTCTCCAGAGCAGATGATCAAGTCCACGTTGACCCAGAGCGTTCTCATCTCTCAGGCGCTGGCCTTCATGAAATGCGACAGTGGTCTCCAGCCAGTTCTTGGAGAACGGAAACATTTATCAACCTCACCCTCCACTGCGGCAGCAGGGCCAAGGACATGCTGAGCAGGGGAGGCGGATCGTCCCCCTCAGCCTGAACACCAGTCCCTTCTGGACTCGGCTCCCTGCTTGTGACACAAGGAAGGGACGTGGGTCCGCAGCTCCTCACCTTCCCCCGTGACTGAACCCGTGTGCCAACAAGAGTAGGGTCTAATTTTAGGAAGGGGCAGTCAGCAGATGGGAATGCGTACAGGGAAGGTCTGTGAGTCACGCCTGATGAATTTGCTAGAACATACGGAGGACATGACAGAGTTGAGAGATGGGAGACAAAACAGTCTCCAGCTGCAGCCAGGCACTTCGCCCTTCTCAAAGTACAGCTGTACAGTTAAATCCCGGCATGGTTGTCTTTCCTGGATATTTTTAGGAGCGAAATTTTTTTTTTAGGAGCTACCACTGATTTACCCAGCTTAGGTTGAGGAGGCCTTTGAAAAGAGATGAATTAACCCCACAGGAATGGAGAGCAGAGCATCAGGGAAAAAGCTTCAGGCTGGGAGAAGGGAACGTACAGCACACCCCGCTTGGTGCTTGAGTCCCCTTTGAAATTTGTGACCTTGAGGGAGGCACAGCATAAAAAGTGTCTAAGTTTCCTGATGACATAAAATGTGGGGGAGTCGGGAAGACCTAGCAGAGCTGGAGAAGCGCAAACAACCTCTCTGGGAATTGGGGAGAGAGGGCGCGGAGGGCTGCGAGGCAGAAGCAAAGCACTCGGCAAAGCTGCAACCCGGTGCTCGGAGCCGGCAAAGCAGCACGCTCGATGTAGGCAGGGAGAAATCAGCTGGGACGGATGGTCAAGAGCAGTCTAGAAAAACCCCTTCGTAGTAATACCTGAGAGAGAGATGGGGTGGTTGAAGTCAGCAGGTAATACGGTGAAATCTAGGACAGCAGATCTGAGCGTGCCTTTCCTTTCACTACCACAGATTAGGAGTAGCTACACATAAATCAGTGGTGTCAAACCAGTATAAAAGCAGTATGAAAAGAGAATTGAGCACAGCGTTTGACAGAAATACAAAGCCGGGAAAATTAGTTTCCTGCTCCCAGAGCTGAGTGAATAATTTCGAACCAAAATTTTAATCCATGAGGATGCTTTTCTCCCCACTCCCAGGAGATGCATGATGAGATCATGACTTTCTAAAATCTAATCACTGTTCCAAGCCATTCCACACCGCTTTTGGCTCCCTGGGCCAGTTGCGGCTCTTTGTAGTGCCAGCCCGGCTGAAGTCAGGTGGAGAAGATGTAATTTCTGTTTCCCAGCTGGCTGTAGGGGGTCGGCATCTCTAGCAGAGCCTTGAGGTGCCAAACCCAAATGTTTGGTTCCTTCTAGAGTCATATGCAACTCCTGGAAACTTTCCTTCTGTGCCTGCGGCGGCCAGGGAAGCCGCTGGTGTTCCGGGAGCCGGCACAGAGGGTGGGATGGCCCCAGGGGCAGTTCCTTCCCTGCTGCGGGGCGAGATAGCAAGGAACATGCTGTGCATCAAACCCTTCTCATGCATGTTTACTCCAGAGATGCTGAGGACAGCACATCTCCTGTCTGGTCTGTAAGGGATCCATATGGTACGAGATTTCTGGTTTAGCAGTTTAGCTTCATCCCAGCGCAGAGGCTGCGATGCCTGCCGGAGCGAATCACACGTTGCAAACTGGCAGAGGATCTGTTTGGCCAAATTTGAATCAGAGCTGTGCGCTCGGATGACAAGATGCTCTCGTTCTCATGTCAGCAGAAATCGCAGCCCCCTCTTTAAGGAGAAGCCCTGATTAATTGAGATGAAATCAGAATTTTTAAAAGTGAATGGCTGCTTCAAAACTGATCATGCTTAAACCGTGTCTTGTTTCCTTCCCACAGGGACCCTTCATCAGGTGAGTCGCAGTTCTGCATCCCACAGGGCTGTGTGTCCCAGCCCTACCTCGCTCCTACCCACCTTGGGCCCTTTTGGCAAGAGCAGGTCAGAACCGCCTCCACACAGCAAGGAGGCATGAGCGATGAAGATTACCCTTAATCCCCTCTTAATGCTGAGAACTCCTTCTAGCCTCTCATTAAACGCTTTGCTGATTATTAATGGACTTTTATTTGAGAGAGAGAAAAAAAAAACCCACAACAACCCACACTTTACAGCTTTGGGCTGATTCCTCCCGAGCTTTTCATTGCCGACACAGCGGCTGCTGGCACAGGGCAGAGGAAACCACCTGCCTGCCCCTTATGTTGGCGTCCCCAGCGTGGATGGGATGGCGAGGGAAAATGAGAGGGAAGAAGGTTTGTCTCCATCCCACTGCTGCTATCACATGCGAAAGGGGGGGCTGCTGATTGAAGGTGGTGGGGTGCGAGGGGGTGTCCAAGGTACCGGGGTGTCTTGCCTGGCACCTCTAGGGTCAGGGTGGTACCTGGGCCACAAAGAGATCACTGGGAGAAGCTCAGAGCTCCTGGCTCCTCTGCCGTGGTCTCTCTCTTTACTGTTGTGTCTCTCTTTTGAAGCCACTCTCAGTCTGCAGCTTCTGCCATGAGCTCTTACGGTGGGGCTGGGGGTGAGAGCCGGCTTGCTGCCTTTAGCCGTGCGAACTGCTGGAAGAATTGCTTAGCGTGAAAGGATGAATCTGTGGAAATATCACACCCTTGGATGTCACCTCTGCCAGCCGAGACCTGTGGTCAGGCCATAGGTTTGGAATGAGAGCTTGTGTCTGGATTTATCTCCCCAGCCAAGGGGCCCAGCCTGGCCCCAAAACTGTTCCTTCTGAATTCAGCTATCCTGGAAAGTCCACCTGCTTGGAAGTGCTCGGAGTGAAGTGCAGTTACTTCCTCCATGGGCACGACTACGCTGCAGTCACGGCATTTTCCAAGTCAGTCAGCTCCTCTCCCCCAAGCGGCTCCTTTCCTGCTGTGAAAGGCTCAGCTGCTTGCGAGCCCCCAGGACACGGGCCAGCGAGCAGAGTGCCTGCCGAGGCTCTGAAGCAGCTCGATCAGTGCTATCCACCTGCAAGCTGCGCGCCCTTTCCTGCGGGAAGCAGTGAATGTCAGCCTTAAATCCCAGTAGCTCTTTGTTCCTGCACTGCAACCTTCCCTGCGGATGCAGGAGATGGAAGGACACGACCCGCAAGGGGAAGGAGCATCCCGTAAGGTCCTGTGTGATGTTCTCCGCGAAGCACTGCTGCACGGTCCCTGAGCGTGGGTACAAAAAGACCTGCTTTTGCTGCCTTTCTGAGCCTTTCTTTGCTCTCCCAGCACGGCTCCCTTCAGTGGATAGAATTGCTTGTCAGCTTTACGGGGTATGTGGGAAGGGCAGGCGCGCCGTTCAGCTTCCCCCAGTGTTTTAATGAAGGGAGCCTGCAGGGGAGGGGGAGGGAGCGGGGCCCACCGCTGCCATCCCGCTCGCTCCCGGCCGCATGGGAAGCGGGGTGATTTGCTAAGCTCTGAGAATTTCAAAGAGCAGAAAGACCAACCGTAATTTCTTCAGTCTGGGAAAGAGGCAATTATTTCCTTCTGACCGCCCACTCCCCTGTACACATGGGATATTAATAGGCCAACCCCCTCTCACCCCCCTCATCGGCCCCATTGCCGATTCCTCAGTGAGTGGGTACCCAAATGTACAGGAGGAAATGCTGTCAAGGAGGATGGAGCCCTTTCAGGGAGCATGGAGATGCTCGCCATGTCCAGCCCAGCTCTCCGGAATTCCTTAGGGCAGGAGGAAGGGGGTTTTCTACTTTGGAGAATGTGTCGTGCTGCCAAATGTCCGACTGTCTGAGTCCCGAAGCCGGGCAGGATTCGCTCAGGTCTCAGCAATGCCACAACTTGGGTTTTAACACTGCCAACCCAGAGCAGAGTTGTTGCCATGGCACGTACTACCCAGGACCCGAATGTCCGGAGAGGACTGGGTACTGCGGTCTTTTCTAGCTCTTCTCAGCCCACACCTATGTCATATTAGAGAAATAAGAGAAAAATCTGTCAGAAGCAGAGAGGGGGAGCAAGCCCTGGAGTTTCCCGGCCAGCTGCTGGATGCCGGTACCCAGACCTCTCCCGGGAATTTGCTGGCTGGTCCTGACCCACAAAGATTTGCATGCTTCGCTGCTTGAAACATTCCTTTTTAGCTGAATTATGCTGGAGTCAGGCCCTAATTTGGCCTCTGGGTACTGTATAAACCAGGAGGGGTTTATTTAACAATAAATGCCGAAAGGCTGAGGCCATATTGGGTACCGGGGTGCGGGTACCGCTCCTGGCAGGCTGCTTTTGGATCCTGCCGAGGTGTGCGTGGTTAATGTGTGCGAGCGCGTCCCGCTCTGGGAGGGATCTCTGTTTTCCACATGTATGTTCCCAGTGGGAGACGGCGTTTGGAAGAGGATGGCACAACCTTGGCTGCTTTGCACAACAGCATCCCTGCCGAGAGGCTGACACTGAGGTTAGAAACCTCCATATTTCAATTAAATCTCTCCTACGCTGAATGCAGAAATCAATAAAGTGCTTACGCCATCCGTCAGCTGGCCAGGAATCTCCGTGGCCTCCGTGAGACGGGAAGGGGCCGGAGTGGGTCAGTTTGCCGTCTCCAAACAGCCATCAGAGCGAGCACTGCTTTCTCACGCGTGCTGAGCCTCTTGCTCGCTTCTGGTTTTGATCCTGCCAGCCCATGGGTGAGCTCGGTTCCCCCGGCTCGGAGGAGGAGGTGAGCGTGCCCAGTGAGATACAGGTCTGGGAACAACATCCGCGGCGGGGTGTCACCTTTGCTTCACTCTCCTTCCCCCCTGCAGCCGGTGGGGAGGAGGTGAGGATGGAGACCCACCTCAGTGGAGGAAGAGGTTTGCAGAGTGGCTCAGGGTGTGAGAACACGCTTTGAAGCTGAGCGGCGACCAGAATCCAGCCGACTGGTTTGGGCCCCTTTTGGGGCTGTGGAGGTGGAGGAGCTGTTAGGGGACTCCTTGAACTGGAGGCCAGTCCAGGTCCTGTGGGGGCTGAGAGCTGGACGGGGCCGGAGCTGTGCTGGAGGGTGAAGTTTTTACCTCCGCCTGAGCAGTGTGTTACCTTTCCCCTCCCTCTCACAGAAATAAACCTGACTCAAGTTGCTCTACGGGCAGGCACCTTGCAGGGATGCTCTTTGCCCTAGGAAGGCGCAGGGGCCGTGGCCTCTTTTGGGGTCTTTCTTCACCATTACGTAGCATCGCTCTGCTGCCCCTACAGCCCTTACCAGTGGCCCTGCGCCGCCCAGCCCGGCACGGCTCACCTCCCTCTTCATTTACCTCTGCCTAACGAGGAGGGGGCTGCTGGCAGCTCGGACCACGCAGGCTGGGCAGGATGGGCCAGCCCGCTTCCAGAGCAAGCGCTGCGGCAAAATTAAATTGTATTTCTGACTTGCCAACCACCCCGAATGTTTTCTCAGGGACCCTCTCGAGCAGGCAGCAATAGGAAGGAGTCGGAGAGCTTCACCCCCGCAGCGCTGGTGGGATGCTGAGGGCTGTCGGAACGTTAGTGTGGAGGTTATTTTTCAGCTACCCGCTGCTCCCAGTCCTGCTTCCCCTTCTTGCTCACCTTGGCATCACCTTGCCCAAAAATGGTCCTGACTGGCCAAACCCCCCATTTCAGAGCTGGGTCCGTGCTTGGTGCCATTCATCCTCCAGCCCTCACCGCTGCCTCAGCAGGGAATTTGCACCGCTCCTCTCAGGTCCTCTTCTGGCAACAGCAGCTTTAACCTTTCCTAACCGGCATTATTTTAAACCCACAGGCACGAGCTCTGGGTCCAAAGGGGAGGGACCGCTGAGCCTCCATCCCTGCCTGACCCTGCTGGGGACGGTTTCCTCTCCCTGGGCTTCTCCAATGACTCTTGGCTTGCACGCCTTGGTGGCCTTGTGGCCATATCATCAGGTAGAGCTGGGGACACAGAGCTGGTGGTGATGCTGCCGCTACCCTCCGTGTGACCTTGGGAAAATCACTCCATACCCTCATTCCTCTTTTCCCTCTCTGAAAATCGGGGACAGCACAAGTTCGCTGTCTCGGCGGAGTGCGGGGAGAGCACATCCGAACCCCTGGTGAAGGAGACCACAGAAAGAGGAGGTAGAGGGGGTGCGTGGCACAGCACCAAGGTCACACAGCTCCGTCAGAGCCCGGAGCCGAGTCTCCTGCCTCCCCACCGCACGCCGTAGCCGCGAGACGGGGCGGCTATCCCTGGTTACAGGGCTGCCCGGCTCCTCACACGGCACGGGCACCTTACGGCACAGAAACGCTGCCTGTAAGACAGGAGCAGAAGGCGGTTATGGGCAGGGACACAACTCCATGTTTACTCTCAGGCGCTGACTGAGGTGATTCAAGGATAAGGAAGAGCAGGGGAAGTGGCCTAGTTTACAGAAAATCGGGAGGGCTGTTACAATTGCGGACGCCTCCATTGTGCCGCGGTGTTTTCCCCATCGCTCCTTCCTTTTGGGAATGTTTCATTAATCTCCCCGGGTCTGTTGGTTTTGAAACAGCAACTTTAGAAGTGCCGATGTCTGGCCAAGGACGCGTGTGTCGGTGCCGAAAGCGTTCGGGGGGTTGCTGCAGCCCTGGCACAGGCAGGACGGGGGCAAATGCGACTCCAGCAACTCCCGGGGCTGGCTCGGGCGCAGGAATTTCCACTCCCCGGAGCTCTGCATCCCTACTAGTCACCCCCAGCCTCCTGGAATGCAAGATATTCTGGCAATCAGCGTTTTGCAAATCAAAGCAGCTGTTCCACCAACATCTTGCAGCCAGCGAGGGAGACAGCTCACGGAGCCGGGGAGGGCGTCTGGCTTGGGCTGGGAAGAGCCCACCAGCACCCGCTGAGACGTGGCACCACCGGTGGGGTGCTGGGGTGAGGGCACCAATGCAGGGGAGAAGAGCGGAGCTGAGCACATCCTGGTCACTCCGAAATTTTGTGCTAGCTCATGGAGACCTTTGCCTTCCCGAAAGATCCCCCACTTCAGAGGACCTGCTCAGCTCAAAGGGGCCTGGTTTGCGTGGCTGTGCCCCAAGAGATGTGGTTCCTCTGGGGCAGCGATGCTTCCGCAGGAACTCACAGGGCTCCCGGCAGTGCCTGGCTGGGCCCCGGACAGCCTGGGGTGAGCAGGAGTGGGGATGGGGATTGCCAAGGGTAACACGCCGTGCCGTTGGCAGAGCAGACCCGTTTTTGCCTCCTCTGCTCTAGTTCAGCCCCGTGACATGGGCAGGCGGCTCAGGGGCAGGACAGCCTTTGCCTCCCCCGTGCCCGGCGCTGGGCAGGGGTCTCCGTTCGCTGTCCCCGAGCCCCTGTTTTCACACCACATTTCTACGAGCCGCCTTCCCCCCGGGGGATGGCTGTAAGCACCCACGCTGGGACACCGGTGGGGGCGAGAGCTCGGCGCTTCCCGGCACCGGTGCCCCCGGTGCTGCGTGTCCGAAATCACCCGTCTTTTCCAAACCCAATTACCGTCAAAGTCCCGACCGGCCATACCCTCAAACTCCATCCCCTCGGCGCAGCCCTGCCCG